CTTTTGTTTATATGTTTATTATTTTAGTTCCCACTTATGCGTGAGAACTTATGGTATTTCTTTGTTTGTGCCTGGCTTATTTCACTTAATATGATTTTCTCTAAGTTCATCCGTGTTGCTGTGAATGGCAGAATTTCATTCTTTTATATTGCTGAGTAATATTCCATTGTGTGTATGTACCACATTTTCCTTATCCAGTGGTCTGGTGATGGACATTTAGGTTGGTTCCAACTCTTGGCTATTGTGAATAGAGCTGCAATAAACATGGGGGTGCAGGTATCCCTTCGACATGGCGATTTCCATTCCTTTGGGTATATACCCAGCAGTGGGATTGCTGGATTGATGGCAGTTCCATCTGAAGTTGTTAGCCTCAGATTTGTTGTGGAGATTAAGTGGGAAGGAAGTCACTGCGTGGTGTGTCTGTCACGTGCTCCATTCACATGACCGTTGGTTCCACACTGTTCCTTTCTGCAGCAGGCCAAGTCCACACAGGGCTGGAAGAGCACCGTCGGCAGTGCAGGGGCTCAGGCTGAGGTGGGCAGAAGAGCAGGGAGACGAGGAGGGGCGGGAGCAGCCCTGGGGGCCGGGCTTCCAAGGCCTGGGGAGCAGGAGAGATGGGGGCAGTTCTGAGGCCACTGCAGGAGTCACCTGGGAACTAAATTTCAGGTGACCTTCCAAAACAGTCCCCGAATTTGGAAAACACATCGTGAAAAACCACTGGAGCAACTTGCTTTTCGTGGGTACGGCAACCAGTCGTGGGCTTTATTAGTTTGTGACGGAAACGTGGATATGGATGGCTGAGAGGTCACAGGATGGCTGCGGCTAAACGACTATACTTAATTTCATTTTCACCATTACCTCATCCTTAGGTGTCTCCAGTCTACTTGCTCCCTTTCCTTTCCCGGTGAGATGCCTGTGAGCACTGAGGACAGCAGGGGACTTCCTGTCTGCAGCCACAGCCCTCCCCTCAGCAGAGTGCGCGTGGGTAAGTCCTCGGGATGGGGTGCCGGGTCCCAGTCATGGCCCGGCGTGTCTTCCCCACCCCACCTATAGGGATGCCCTGGATCACATGGATCACATGGTTCTCCAGCTGACGAGATAGAGAAGAAAATAGGCCAAGCTGTTTGCCCAGAGGTGTTTGTTCCCTGCCGGGTGGCAGCCTTGGGATCTGGAGCCCCTGTCTGAACCCAAAGCCTGTGGGCTCACCTTCTTCTACTGGGGGTTCCTCCTCCCCTGAGGGTTTATAAACACAGGTTGCTGGTGTAGGGGCCTCAAAACTGCATCTCCATCCTCTTAGGGGCCCAGCTGGGCCACAAATTAAGTGATCGTAAAGTAGATTAATAGCGGAAGAGCATACACATTTATTTAATATAAGTGTCATGTGGCATGGGAACCCTCAAAGGAAATGAAGACCCAGAGAGCAGTCAGAGTCAGTACTTTTTTAATGAATTGGACAAAGACTGGTAAGCTGGGAGAATGTGGTGAGACAAAGGGGTGGGGCTGGAGTGTTTCATTGGGTAGAGAAGTGACTAGGCAGATAAACGTTAATTTCACAGGGTTTGTTTGTACAGAATTCTCTTGGCCTCAACTTCCCATCCTTGATAAGAATGTTGATCTCACATCAGATTTTATCTTCTGCTTTTAAGAAACAGAGTGAAAGTCAGAGTGATCTTCTTGTCCCTGCTGTTTTTCAGGTCCCTTTAACTCAAATAGTCAATATGCCAGGGTGGTATATTGTTAACTCCTGCACTGGGGCCCACCCCAGACCTTCCCCTTTAGGAGGTCTGGGGTAGGTCTGCTGGGGTATGGGGTCCACACTTTGAGAACCATGGAGTCTATGATAGGGCCTCCCGGGGCCGAGTAAGGGGGATGCTTCAGTTACAGGAGGCAGCTCCATGGCCTCAGGTGTGGGGCGTTTCTTCCTCCTTAACAAGGAGAATATTTCCATTATTAATTTTTAAAACAAAACCCCTAAATAGTTGCCTGAAACTTAATTGCTAGTATTCCCTGAAGTTGAAGGAATTTACAAGTTCTAGACTGTATTTTTTGGTATTAGACATTTTGTTGCTTATGACAGAATACCTGAAACTGGGTAATTTATGAAAACATGTATTTCTTACAGTTTTGGAGGCTGGGAAGTCCCAGGTCCTAGGGGTGCATCTGGGGAGGGCCCTGTTCTTGGGGGTCCTCTCTGCAGAGTCCGTAGCGACACAGGATATTG